TCCTCGTCCTCTCACCATCAGTGGTTTGGTGAAGCCTGTTCCAGCTCGAACCTACTTCCTCGGTTCCTAAATATAAATTTTTGGAGACATTTCACTATGGACCACATACGGAGTAAAATGAATGAACTACACTCTAAAATGCATCTATATACATTCGTATGTGGTTCATAGTAAAATTTCTACAAAGACTTATATTTAGGAACAGAGGGAGTAGTAGTCAAGTGACTATATAGTAAATCGATAGCCAAATACCCGAGGTATATGTACTACCCACTATTAAACAAACAATCTCTAAAAATTTCAGATAAAAACAATAACTGAAAATTGACTACTCAGTCCCACCCGTAATCTGCTTTGGGCGACAATTGATTGGCCATATATAGTACGTAAAACCGAGGAAAGGAAGACCTGATTAACTTCCCTGATGACCTGATCGTATTGCATCAGGCGATCACCAAATCCCTTGACAGTTACTACCTCTGCCTTTCCATGCATCTTTCCGCTGGTGAAGCCTCTCCATGATGGTGGTCCGCAGAGAGCCGCCACAACCTCCATCCGTCCTTCGTCCGCGATCTTAGCCACGAGGCGCGGCCACCTCCGGCTAGCCGTGGGCACCGATCTCCATTATCGCCCACCGGCTGAATGGACCGGCCCCCAAGTGCAGGATCCTCTCCATCGACTCTGGCCCGCATCCCGTGCTGGATACCCTCGATCGACTCTGGCACCTACGTGGATGAATATGCGCAGCAGAAGATCGCCGACAGCAGGGCGCAACGCGGAGGAAGGACGGCGGCGCATCGAGGAGGGAGTAACGCCGCCGCATCGCGAGGAAGGACGGCGACGAGGAGGAACTGTTCGTTCGGGGGCCTGGGCAACCTGGGCTGTTAGCGTGGGAGTGGGAACAAGTGGGCCGGCCCAATTACGGACAGAAAGAGGAGGTCGCTCCGCGGAGCAGGGGCCCGCGAGACGACGCGAGACGCGCGCAGGCGAGGAATGACGCCCGAATTTGATCTGGATCGTAGGTTCGAGGATCCGACGGCCGCGAGACAGTCAAATCGCTGTGGAGGCTTGTAGCTAGCCTAGTTATACTGTTTCTCAATGACCCGGCGGTCATATCGATTGGTATGTTTCTTTTGGTTTACTTATGGATCGGCCGGGTCATGCATTACAAAGGGCAACATCATATTCAAATCAGTAAAATACTACGCCTTGCGTGCGGCGTCAAACTTCCTCCGCCGTGGAGCATCTGTTACCCAATGAAACATCGTAAGTCAGACTCTGACTGATGCTGGGTTGCTAGAGGTTGGTCAACAGAGTCTTTGCTACTACTACTGTGGTTTGAAGAAATCAATTTATTTTGGTTTACTCATAAGGAGCGATACCTTTTACGGTACATCAGCTAAATTTGGGCCTTATTTTTGTGGTTTAATGACCCAGATGAGTCGTTAGGGGTATTTTAGGTAGCTCTCAATTAATCAATCCCACAGGCAGTTCTGTTAGTCATGAGGGTTCAGTTTGGCCATCCCGTCGCCATCAGCAGCTATCCTGCACGCGGGTAGCGTTTGCAGCCGGCGGCTGGCCAGTGGCGAAGCCATTCATGGGCTGTGTAGTCAAATGACTACACAGCTTTTTGGCAAAAACAACATATAATAAGTATATATCATGCAGAAAAAATCATAAATACATACATATGACTACACAAGTTTGAATTGACCACACATGAATGAATTCCTGGCACCGCCACTGCGGCTGGCCATGGCCAGCCTGCCGCAGGCCTGCCTTGCGCGGTTCGCCGCATGTAGTCCACCTTGTGCCGGCCCCACGCGTCCTATACTAGCCGGCCATTGGTAGCTCCCTCCGCACTTTCTTGCCCAAGCAATCTCCATTGCCAACAGACGGCGCACTGCCGGATAGCGCTTGAGAAAAAAACCTGAGAGATCATTTTTTTAATCATTGAATCAATTTAATACTACATGTTATGTTGGGTAGTATAATGTACCATAAAAAAACACTATTAATTTGCACTTTGCGTAACCTAAGTCTTGCGGCTAACAGCTACGTGCCTACCGTGCCGGTGCCCGTTCGTGGACGGATAACTAGGTTACCTACAAATAGTACTCCCTTCCGCTCTAAAAGATATTCCTATAAATTTGTCCCAAGTCAAACGACGCAACTTCGATCAGAGTTAGATCACTAATATAGTGATCTAAACGATTTTATATTTTTTTTAGAGAGGAAGTATAATATTAGGTTATATCATTAAATACAGAAATAACTTAGAAATCAAACATTTTCATACAATATGTATTTGGTATTGTAGTTATTGGAAGGTTTTCCTACAAGTTTGATCAAACTTTGCACTATTTGACTTGAGGTAAAAGTTATAGCATCTTTTTGAAGATGGCGAGAGTACGTGATTTGATGTCATGAACGTCTTTTGATCTCGCGTTAACTCGGTACCCACCGCACTTTCTCACGCCGCTTGGAAGTCTCGTGGCCTAAGCTCTAGCTTAGTTACATAGCCGCTTTTGACTTGTCATTATCTGAATTGGATTATCAAGTAATTAACCTCTCAAGGAGAAAGGTTAGGTGGTCATTTACCAGCGCAACAACTAAAGGTATTCTACGTGCCAATGATGCTAATCTGTAATCTCCCTCTCCCTTCACATCACGGTCTTTCCATGAAGCATCGCCTCTAGCCGGCCTAGCAAGCTAATAGCCATGCAATGCAAGCTGCACGCATGTGCCACTAGGTGGCGACGTACGAATTCTACTGTGCTTGCGTACGTGGCCCATGATATCAACATGGCGGCTCATGTCGCTTGGTTTGATTAGCCTGCTCAAGTCAACGATTGCAAACGCCCGTAGGATTCCGACGCCTAGTCCCTCGGGTGTATATATAGGCCACGGTACAGGCCTAGCATACCACCCTTCCATTGAGCAGCGAGTTAAGTACCGATCGAGAGTGGCATATATAGCACTTAGTTTGCAGAGGAACACAAGCATGGAGAAGCTCTCCATTGCGGCGACCATGTTCTGCGCCTTGGTCCTTGCGGCTCTGGCGGCGGCGGCCGGCGGTGAGGCCGCCGTCGTGGAACACACCTTTGTCGTGAGTACAATATCGATCTATGTATCTAGTTCATTAATGCATCTTCTTGATCACTTCTCGGTAGGTTTACTTCCGAAGGTCGTGACGAAAGTAAACTTGCTTTGCGCATAAATCTTAGGCTGGATGTGCATCATGAAAACAAACAAACAAAACTAGTTTCAGTTTGTGTGTGGTTTTTTATGAACTGTCACCATCTTTAACCTCTTAATTAGTTGACTGTTGACCAATCAGTTACGTATTTGCTTAATGATGTTCAGGTGCACGAGATGAACCAGACGCACCTGTGCAACACCACCAAGATTTACGTGGTGAATGGGCAGCTGCCGGGCCCCACCATCGACATCACCGACGGCGACACGGTTGTTGTCCATGTCATCAACCGTCTCCCTCACGGGCTCACCATCCACTGGCACGGTGTCCGGCAGATGAGGAGTTGCTGGTCCGACGGCGCCGGCTTCGTCACCGAATGCCCCATCCCTCCTGGCGGCGACCATGTGTACCACTTCAACGTCACTGGCCAGGTCGGCACGCTATGGTGGCACGCCCACGTCACCTGCCTCCGCGCCACCGTCGCCGGCGCCTTCATCATCCGTCCCAAGGGAGGGATGTACCCGTTCCCGACGCCCGCCAAGGACGTGCCCATCATCATCGGCGAGTGGTGGCAGCTCGACCTCGTCGAGCTAGACAGGAGGATGCATGATGGTAACTTCGACGACAATCCGCTGTCGGCGACCATCAACGGCAAGCTGGGCGACCTCAGCAATTGCTCTGGCAAGCCGGAGGAGAGCTTCGTCCTCGACGTGGTGCGCGGGAAGACATACCTGTTGCGGATCGTGAACACGGCGCTCTTCTCCGAGTACTACTTCAAGGTTGCTGGGCACACGTTCACCGTGGTGGGTGCCGACGGATACTACCTGACGCCGTACAAGACGGACATGGTGACAGTTGCTCCAGGGGAGGCCATCGACGTGCTCATGGCCGCTGACGCCCTGCCCGCGCACTACCATATGGTGGCGCTCGCAAACCAGCCGCCGGAGCCTGACCCGCAGATCCCGGGGTTCGTTTCCCGCGGCCTCATCCGCTACGCCGGATCCTCCCACAACAACAACAGGCTGCAGGTGCCGACGCCGCTCATGCCCAGCCAGCACAACACCATGCCGTCCTACTACTTCCACAGCAACCTCACCGGCCTCGCCCACCCGGACCGCCACCGCGTTCCCATGCACGTCGACGAGCGGCTCTTCTTCACGCTCGGCCTCGGCTCCATCTGTCGCGGCACCAACAAGACATGCCAGCGTCGCCGGAGTCCCGAGACCATCGTAGTGGCCACCATGAACAACGTGTCCTTCCGCCACCCGACGAACACATCACTCCTTGAGAGGTACTACGACAAACGGACAAGTGGCGTGTACACGGAGGACCTCCCCGACCATCCGCCGCACCCGTACAACTACACCGACCGCTCCCTCATCCCGCCAGGGCCGCTGGAGGAGGCGCTGGAGCCGACGTCCAAGGCGACCAAGCTACGGAGGTTCCGGTACAACACCTCGGTGGAGATCATCTTCCAGAGCACGGCGCTGCTGCAGAGCGACTCCAACCCCATGCACCTCCACGGCTACGACTTCTTCGTCCTCGCCACGGGGCTCGGCAACTACAATCCCAAGACGGACCCCAAGAAATTCAACTACCACAACCCACAGCTGAGGAACACGGTGCATGTGCCCAGGACCGGCTGGGCTGTTGTGCGCTTCGTCACCGACAACCCCGGGATGTGGTACCTCCATTGCCACTTTGAGTTCCACATCATCATGGGTATGGCGACAGCGTTCATCGTGGAGAACGGGCCAACGCCGGAGACCAGCCTGCCCCCGCCGCCGCCGGAATTCAAGAGGTGTGGCGCCAATGGCCTCACTCAGCCATAGAGCTAATTAATCTGGGTAAGGACGTGTGTGCAGAAGTTGGGCCCTGAATTTATATAATTATTATTAGTGCAAAATAAAAACACTGAAGATGCAGGCAAGGATTTGCATGGATCCTTCATTGTATTGCCGGATGATTCTTATTGTAAAAGTTGATATTATTTTTTAATTTATTTCTCCATTGTAATGTGTGAACTGTAAGTTGGTCCAGTAGCTAGGGTTCAGTTTTAAAGAGAGGTATACGAACTGGCTGATATCATAAACAAAATCCTGTATTTAGATGATCCCTTTTTATTCGCATCAGATTAATGGTTGGAAACCACATCAGAGTGTTGGTAGTAAGTGCGTCAAACCTCCCTAGATCGTTTGATCTAAATCCAATTGTCCCAAATCATACTGCAAACCAAAAGGATAACTAAATACGGCTGATGTATATATCTTTTGAATATATCACAAATTTTGACAAGTAAAATGAGAATCTTGATGCATTTTGACTCTTTTGGTTGGATCACAAAATTTGGTGGGGGTGTGGAGCAAGCAGCCACCGCACCCGCACTTTGTGGGCCGCTGATCTGCCCATGTTTCGCAAACATGGTCATGTATAGAGGGTACTTTCATCGCAACGATGCTAGACTTACGGACAACTTTCTACGAAATTGAAGCTACAGACCGATGGGGCAATGCATGATTGGAAATTAAGAAGAGGGAGGAGGCCCAAGTGAAAATTAGGGGGGGAGGAAATTGGTGGAGATGGAGTCCGTACGGTGTTTCCGTAGATTGTTTTCGTAAGTGTATCATTTGTGCTTTCCATCGCATAGCCCTCGCCAAAACTCTGTAATGGGTTCATAAATAGGAAAAGTGATATACCTCTACAAGTGGGGTTGCATTGGTCGGTACACATATTTTTATAAGGACCCAATAAGTGGCACATGTGTGGCATGGATACATGGCAACTGCGAACGTTTTTTATGGCAAGTTTAGTGACATGAGGATGTCAACTTTTGTTGTCAAGCATGGCAACTTACTTTCGGATGGTAAGTTTCAGTTTTTTATGGGTTTGTTTTTTTCTTTTTGGATGACAATTTTAGTTGTAAAAAACGTTAGGACCAGATTGCTTCGTACCACATGTATGGTACTTATCATTTGGGTTTTGTAAACAGTGGATGTGAATTTTATGTGTTGAAATAGTTTTGTTTGAAACTGAGGCAAATGATTTGCCTCATTCATTAAATAAGAAGGAGCTGGACAAAAGTTACATGAACCCAACGCCAGGGAACGAGCAAAAATACAATAATACTATTCTCCCAGCAAATTCACTGAAAATGTTTCGTGCTCGCAATGGCCCAAAGCCTTGCCTCTTTCTCGATGGCTTGTAGGAGAATAAACGGAGGGGTGGCATTGCTCCGGGACACTCATGTGTTCCTCTCATCCAAAACCATCTTACTAACAAGCATGATGAGAGTAGGCATTGCCCTTTATGGATCCTTTCGGCACAAGTCATCTCAACCGACCAATCTTTGATGGTTGGAGAGGTTGCCCACACGGAAGTATCAAAAGTCGATAAGATTGAGTCAATCTTTGTCCAAAGCCCAGAGCCTCAAAGAATATTGACACTTGACGAGTAGGTGCTCAATAGATTCATGCCCCTTTTGTAGAGCGGGCAAGGTTCGCAGTTTGGCCATCCTCTCTTGGCCAACCGTGAAGGAAATATGCCCTAGAGACAATAATGAAGTTATTATTTATTTCCTTATATCATGATAAATGTTTATTATTCATGCTAGAATTGTATTAACCGAAAACATAATACATGTGTGAATACATAGACAAACTTAGTGTCACTAGTATGCCTCTACTTGACTAGCTCATTAATCAAAGATGATTATGTTTCCTAACCATGAACAAAGTGTTGTTATTTGATTAACGAGGTCACATCATTAGTTGAATGATCTGATTGACATGACCCATTCCATTAGCTTAGCACCCGATCGTTTAGTATGTTGCTATTGCTTTCTTCATGACTTATACATGTTCCTATGACTATGAGATTATGCAACTCCCGTTTGCCGGAGGAACACTTTGTGTGCTACCAAACGTCACAACGTAACTGGGTGATTATAAAGGAGCTCTACAGGTGTCTCCAATGGTAGATGTTGGGTTGGCGTATTTCGAGAATAGGATTTGTCACTCCGATTGTCGAAGAGGTATCTCTGGGCCCTCTCGGTAATGCACATCACATAAGCCTTGCAAGCATTGCAACTAATGAGTTAGTTGCGGGATGATGTATTACGGAACGAGTAAAGAGACTTGCCGGTAACGAGATTGAACTAGGTATTGGATACTGACGATCGAATCTCGGGCAAGTAACATACCGATGACAAAGGGAACAACGTATGTTGTTATGCGGTCTGACCGATAAAGATCTTCGTTGAATATGTAGGAGCCAATGTGGGCATCCAGGTCCCGCTATTGATTATTGACCGGAGATGTGTCTCAGTCATGTCTACATTATTCTCGAACCGTAGGGTCCGCACGCTTAACGTTACGATGACAGTTATTATGAGTTTATGCATTTTGATGTACCGAAGTTAGTTCGGAGTCCCGGATGTGATCACGGACATGACGAGGAGTCTCGAAGTGGTCGAGACATAAAGATCGATATATTGGAAGCCTATATTTGGACATCGGAAGTGTTCCGGGTGAAATCAGGATTTTACCGGAGTACCGGGAGGTTACCGGAACCCCCCGGGAGCCATATGGGCCTTAATGGGCTTTAGTGGAAAGGAGAAAGGGGCAGCCCAAGATGGCCGCGCGCCTCCCCCCTCCCCTAGTCCTATTAGGACTAGGAGAGGTGGCCGGCCCCCCTCTCTCTCTTTCCCCCTCGGGGAATCCTAGTCCAACTAGGATTGGGGGGGGGAGTCCTACTCCCGGCAGGAGTAGGACTCCTCCTGCGGCCCCCTCCCCCTTGGCTCCTTTATATACGGAGGCAGGGGGCACCTCTAGACACACAAGTTGATCCACGTGATCGTTCCTTAGCCGTGTGCGGTGCCCCCTGCCACCATATTCCACCTCGGTCATATCGTTGTAGTGCTTAGGCGAAGCCCTGCGTCGGTAGAACATCAAGATCGTCACCACGCCGTCGTGCTGTCGGAACTCCTCCCCGACACTTTGCTGGATCGGAGCCCGGGGATCGTCATCGAGCTGTACGTGTGCTAAGAACTCGGAGGTGCCGGAGTAACGGTGCTTGGATCGGTCGGGTCGAGAAGACGTACGACTACTTCCTCTACGTTGTGTCAACGCTTCCGCAGTCGGTCTGCGTGGGTACGTAGACAACACTCTCTCCTCTCGTTGCTATGCATCACCATGATCTTGCGTGTGCGTAGGAAATTTTTTGAAATTACTACGAAACCCAACAAACCGGACAGAGCTCCAAATCCTATTTTGGATGGAAAGCCATGAAAAAGATTCACCGACGGTGACGCCCAAGCTTTCCATACGGTCTTTGCTACTTGTGAAAAGCGTTGGGATTTCTTCGAAGAGGAAGGGTGAAGTAGTACAGTAGCAGAAAGTATTTCCCTCAATAAAGAACCAAGGTTTATCGAATCAATAGGAGATTCACACAAACGACCTTTAGTAGTACCTACACACACAAGAGCAAATAATTGCACCCAACACGGGCAAGAGGATTGTCAATCCCCTTGTACTTGTTAATTGCAAAGATCAAATTTGAGAGTAGGAGATGTATAAATTGCAAAGTAAAATAAAAGTAAATAAATTGCAGCAAGGTATTTAAGGTTTTAGTAATGTAATTTGAATGGACCCGGGGGCCATAGCTTTCACTAGAGGCATCTCTCCCATAAGCATAACGATACGGTGGATGAACAAATTGGGCAATTGATAGAATAGTGCATAGTTATGATGTTATCTATGGCATCAGTACATAGAAATTATGTCCGTGACAAGTAGATCAACATCCATCTGCATATTAAGTTCATGACAAACAGAGTGCTTCTATGCTTGCCTCTCTACATATTAAGTTCATGACAAATAGTAATGTGTTAAGCATGAGATGACATAATGTAGACAAAATAAGACCAATCAATATGATTGAACCCGTCGTTTTGCCCTCAGTAGCAACAATACAAATACGTGCCTCGCTACTCCTCCTGTCACAGAGTGAGAACACCGCAGGATTGAACCTACTACTATGCACCACTTCCGCTGAAAATCTAATCATCAACTTGGTTAAAGAAAAGACATAGATCGGAAAGCATTATAGCTATAACAATCACAAATAATAAAGTTCAGAAATAATTCAGTTACTTTCAATGAATAATCTGATCATAAATCCTTTATTTATCTGATCTCAACAAACACACAACACAAAAGGATTACATCGAATAGAACTCCGAAGAGAATATTGTATTAAAGATCATAGAGAGAGATAGAGAGAAAGAGAACATGAACTACTCACACATCATCGGAAAGGCAGTATGGTTGACGTAGGCCCTCCGTAATCGATTCCCCCTCTGAAGATACTGACGGAGGGCCTCCAAATGACATCGCGGAAGAACAGAGGCTTGCAACAGTGAAATAATTGTTTCGGGTCTCGTTCTGGTGGTTTCTTGATTTTAGGGAATTTATGGGCCTGAAATTAGGTTGGGGCACAAGCTCAGACGGTGCTCCCCTGGGGGGGGGGGGTGAGCTTGTGCCACTATCGTGCGGCGTCTAGTCTCTTCACGAAGCCTCTAGGGTCCCTTCTGGTCCAGAAAAAATCACCGTAAAGTTTCATCATGTTTGGACTTCGTTTGGTATGGTTTTCTACGAAACAATAAAATAGGCAAAAATAGGAACCAACACTAGGCACTAGGTTAATAGGTTAGTTCCCAAAAATAATATAAAAAATTGCATATAAAGCATACAAGATTGATAATATAATAACATGAAACAATAAAAAATTATAGCTACGTTAGAGACGTATCAGTCTTGCACATGTTAGTGTGGGTGATAGTCAAGAAGTGCACCTTATAAGCGGACGACGCATAGTAGGTTCCGTCGATCGTGTGCTTCCACACTATGTTGTCCTCCACCTCCTCAGAAAGGTGAATCCCATGAATGGCTATCCACATAGTAATGAACTGGTGTAGATGGTCTGGGGTGAAGGCGGTCATCACAAGAAGTGTACTGAAATAGTAGCGCTCAAGAAAAAACGAGTCAATCATGAGCTGGTGTTCTTCGTGTTCTTGGTGTTCTTCTCCCACGCTGTATGTTCTACTTTATATCTTGTTATGTCCCAAGAACTCTCATCTCGGCCCACCAATGGTGCAGTCTTGCAAAAGAAAAAGGACATAACCGCCGTGAAGCATCCAAACAACATCATCATGAGCTGTTGAATAGAAGCGTAACATAGTTCCTGTCAGAGAGTAAATACTGACATTTTCAGCTAGAACGAAGGCATCATGCAGCAGTATCCGGTTCCATTCCCCTCCCTTTGATACCATCACAATGATCTAAACACAAAAAAAAGGCCAATATAAATGATACTCCCTCGATAAAGAAATATAAGAGCGTTTAGATCACTCTTATATTTCTTTATAAAGGGAGTATCTTGTACCAAATAAGAAGAAATGTTCCGGACTAAATGTTTTGTTTGAAGAAATACGAAATAACACCCACCATGATGTGTGCTCGACAGTGGGAACCACCTGAACGTGACTACATGTAGATTAATAATCATTGCAGTTTCTTACTGGAATCACGAGATGGCGGCTCGACCTTCGTGATTAGGAATAGTATAGGCGATGTGGTTGGTTCATGAGAGGAAAGCTTCGTTATCTTCCAGATCTTATGCATGATGAGATAGAGGTGTGACTACATGTTATCCATGAATACCAGAGTTGGGTATATGACGAAAATGATCATTGTAATAGACGCTCAAGAATTAGCGAAAGTTGACACATTGACAAATCAAGGGCATGTTTGGTTGGTGGCCTGGGTTACATGCCTGGCAAAAACCAGTGCCTGAAAGCAGCCTGAAAAATAGCTATTTTCTGCCTGATGAGGCATGCCTGAGAATGCATTGTTTGGATGGAGACCTTGTGCCTGAGTCTGACAAAAGCAAGTGAAGGACAAAACCGTTTACTAGTTTTGAATAGAAAAAGTCACATCAAGTACTATTTGCATGATTAGCGTTCTCAGGCTGCCATTTGCTCCGGCCAGGCGCTAGAAAAAGGAAGCCTGGCCCAGGCTAGTGAACCTGCCTGGTTTAAAAGCCAGGCTAATCAAATCGTGGTGTGTTCAGGCCAGGCAGCATCAGGCTTTTCCAGGGCAGCAAACAAACGCCCTTCAGGCACATCTCAGGCAGGCTCCAGGCCAGGCACTCAACGGCGAGGATGCGAACCAAACTGACCCCAAGACCTGACGCCTAGTGGTGTGCTGTTTCGGGAGCTCAAAGTTCATCTCGATTTATATTTTGTTATGCTTAAAATAAATTACTATCTTAAACTTTGTAATATACTGTTGTGGAATACCTTGTGGCATTCGGTGCCAAGATGAATGTCGAACTTTAAGCCGTATGGCCGGGCGGCAAAAATGCTACATCTACAGGACTTTACAGGAGTTTACAGCTCCTTCCAAACTTCATAAACATCACCCCCCCCCCTGATTTTCATGGGGTGGGGCCTCTCCCCAACTAACATCCAATCAAAAACCGCCAAGTAAAATCAATCATGTAAACTCATGTAGAAACCTGTATGTGTAGCATTGTTGGATGGGCGGTGCTTTCTACCTTCGTCCGAGAATTGGTAGCCAATGATATTGCTGTGCGCTTGGTTTAATGGAATAGAGATTTTTAATTTCAAGAAAAAAGACCTTATTGGACAAGACATTTTTTTTAGGGTTTGTACAAGACATTGATGCTCGTGCCATGCTCAACATAATCGGTTTGTTGGGGCGGAGTAATCATAATTTGTACGCTCTGGAAGTCTGGAACACACACACACACTGTGCTGCACCTGCTCCACGAAAGCCGAACAACTCGTCCCCCCTATCCCCTCGTCCGACGGCGCCGTGCCGGCGGCGCGATCGGAGGCCGGAGCTCCTCCCGTCCAGATCTCCGTCCCCCTCCTCCTCTCCGTCTCTTGGAGTGTGAACCCAACTACCCGAAGGCGCCCTTCCTCCGCCGCATTCCGATCTGATGGCCGGATCTCGCAACTGGGCGGATCTACCGGACGGGCCGACGGCGCTCATCGCCGACCGCGTCCTCGCCTACGACGTCGCCGACTACGTCCGTTTCCGCGCCGTGTGCCTCCCGTGGCGTCGGTGCTCAGCGGACCCGCGCGCGCACGGCAGCCTCGACCGCCGGTTCCATCCCCGGCGGTGGGCGATGCTCCGGGAGGAGCTCGCGGCGCCCAACCGCCGCTCCTTCCTGAACACCTCCACCGGCGAGTGCGTCCAGGTGGGCCTCCCGGAGCTCCATGACCACTGCGTGCTCGCCCTCACCTCCGAGGGCCTCCTCGTTCTGGTCCACCACAAGCCGCAGCGCAACGGAACGGGCTCGTCTACCGTGCTGAAGGCACGGCAGGGAGCTACAGTAGCCACGCAGTGGGAATCGCAGAAGGCACTGCAGGGCCCTATAGCACTATGTACTGTAGCGAATCTACTGTAGTAAATCTGTACTGTAGCGGGCACCCTGTAGCACCACATTGTTCATGAGTTCCTGTAGCACGCAGTGAAAAATCACAGAGGCACTGCAGGCTACTGTAGCTCCCCTACCGTGCCTTCAGCACGGTAGACGAGCCGGTTCCCAGCGCAACACCGTCCGCCTGCTCAACCCGTTCACCGGCCACCTCACGGAACTCCCGCCGCTCACCACGCTGCTATCTCCACACGACCAGCACATGCGTATGGATCTGATTGGCCGTTTCAAAAGGGTGTTAGCAGCGTGGGGCTCCGGCGTTGCCAATGATGATTCGACAGTGGTGCTCTGCTTCAACACGCTCGACGTGCTTGGCATGGCCAAGCCCGGCGATGACCACTGGACGTTGTTAAAATGCCAATTTGGTTCGATGTTATCGCCCTTAATGCTGGCAGGCCGATTCTACTGCGTTAACTGGCACAATGGTGTCATGGTGCTGGAAACCAGCGGAGATCAGCCACCACGGCTGGAGATGGCCTCCGAGCTGAATTTGAGTGGCTCACTGATCGAGGGTAGTCTGCACCTGGTGAACAATTATGGGGAGCTCATGCTGGTGCACCGTTGGAGTGGACCATTGTCGTCGCTCAACAGATTGGGTTATTGGTACGATGCATATCGAGTGGATTTGGACAAGCGGACGCTATTCCCGGTCAACAGCTTGGGCGGCGCCGCCGGGCGTGCGGTGTTCATGGGCATGCATTGCTCCCTATCGGTGTCCATACAGAATTTCCCCTCTGGCTCCATTACTGCTGACACCATCTACTTAGGCTTTGACGTTGCTGAAAGAGCGGGGTTTAAAGTTGGAGCTTATCATCTCGCAGATGGAAGCATCGAAGGCACCGGCAGATATGAGGGTTGCTTGGTGCCCTGGCCGCATACTCTTGTTGACTGCCTATGTTTAGCCAATAGCCCAATACTGTCTGAGGAGCTATCCCATTTCCCGTATGTTTAGCATACATGTATGCACGATATGTACTCTTGTATCACATTTGATTAGCTTATTTGAGTCTATGTATCTAGCTAGAGTTATGCATGGACGACTGCCCTAGTTCTGCACACTTTGTTGCTGAGTTTCGTTTGAAGGTGCATACATACAGATTTGTATGCATGTTATCGAGAGAAGAAGTGTGTTGCACTCTTTTACAGTAGTCCAAGTATTTGCCTAATCAGTTTGTGGCTTTGGCAAAAAGCAAAGCAACTTATTATTTCCTCAGTTGGAAAGCAGGCCTGTCTGCTTTCATGGCAGAAAGGTTGTTTTCGGCTGCGGTGACTTTGTGAGATCTTGGGAAGATGGTTAGTTCAAAAACAAACCTTTTATGCCCTTTACCATGGTTTATATGACATTTGTAAGCAAATAATTTTTCTGGTAAGTTACTCCTTCCCACCTTCTAACTGGACCTTGAGAAGATGCCTAACCTGGTCCTCATCACACACGCACCATGTAGTTATTTTGGTAGTATAGATTTGATATTAATACAGTTTGTGAAAATTTGTCGCCTCGGTGTTCTCTATGGTCATCAGGTTGGTGATCATTGTCACTTGACTTTGTTAGGTCAAACTTTACTACTTCCTCTGATCCATATTACTTGTCCCTCGAACGGATGTATATAGATGTATTTCAGTGCTACATACATACGTTTGAGCAACAAGTAATATCGATCAGAGGGAGTATGTTTATTTTAGTAAGGTTAGAAAAATATTTATGTAAATTCAGAACTTCCTTTGGACACCAGATCAAGTTGTTTTAGTATAGATTGAGCTAAGCTTGGCTATCAACTTTGTTATCATTATAGGAGCATTTTTGAGTCACTTTGCATGAATTTCCAGTTCCCAAGTTTAAGGATTTTGCCCACGCTTGAAATGCGCTTCACAATATTCAATGTTTAAGTCAAGAAGATGCAAGGAAATGTGTGTTTTAATAATCTCGTTTGGAACTTAACTTCCCTGTTTAATTTTCTTCATGTTTAAGTTGCAGGTTTCTATCTGTGTTGTTAGTTCCCCAACCTAGTAGTTTGTGGAGCCAAGTATTTCTTGATAGCAAAGAGAAAGCAGGCAACGCTGGCTATTATAGGTGTTCAGGAGCACCACTTCTTCAGAAGCTGGATGGATTTAACATCGACAACCCTGGACTTCCTATGGATGGCTATATGACATTTTGTGGCTGGTCAGCAATATGTAAAATGTTCCGCTCTCCATTTTAAGGTAGTTTTGCTTACTTCACATCATTCCCTTCCCCTCCCAGAGATAAATATTCATGTTTGCTCCACATGGTATACTCTTTGTTTTGTATGGTGCTAGATCTCCGTGGGCTTATATGACTTACTCAACTGCAAAACTGCGGAAGTTGTTGCCAATAAATCTTTGTGTATGTCTAGCAGGGCCCGAGCTCTTGCATGATATGAATGTCTCACCATTTTCATCATCCAACACACAATCCCAAATTTTGGTTGCTGACAGCAGTCAGGCAATTTGTTAAAGGTTTCTGAAATTGAATTAAGCTTACCGCACTTGTATATTATTGTTTCTATTATATATTCAGCCAGAAGAGAAATAGTCATGGGCAACAATATGTTACTGGGGATCCAAGTGGATCCATATCAAAAGAAATCTTCTTGACAAGACAATTGGCCAAAAGGTGTAACGGCAAACTGAATAAAGGCAAGGTGATTGAAGATGGATCATCATTAAACATAAGTTCCTTCCGTTATTTTTCCAGATTCAGGCAAAAAAATGTTAAATTGTCATATGTGCACTAGGATTTATACGAGTTCGAAAGGATCAGGAGGTTGATATACATGCAGATGCGGATGTGGTAGAAGCTTGAGGCTCAGATGAGGCTGTAATATTATGTCTTGATGAGTTTATGGTATGTTTATCCTTGTCCTTACCATCACATTGTTGTGTTAGTGTACATATAAGCAATTACTAGTACTCGCTCTTATATTTCTTTACAGAGGGAGTACATGATAATTATCAGATATTCTCATTCTCATAGTTCCAAATTTGAAAACATACATGTTTGCTAAGGCATCCGAAAAACGCTTTACAGGTAACTGACGCTACTTGACTGTTAGTAGCCCGCCTTCTTAATGAACTGAGATCAAATTCTTGGAAGCTCAGCTGTCAGTCCAAGAAATCGCTTATGAGAAGTGTTCTCCTTTTCTTAGTAGTAGTAGCTTGAATGTTGGTTTTCTGGAAACCATTGGCTAAGTAGAATATATCAGTAAATGTGCGTCTGGCGAGTGAAACCTGATAGCTGCAAAGCTATGGTCGTATTTTGCATTTCCCCCCCTCTAGAATGCACATAAGCTATGTGTATCATATATATAGAGAAGAAACGGTAGATTTCGCAAAAGAAGAAGAAGAAGAAGAGAAGAAACAGTAGAGATACAATCCATCAGAGTACATAGGTGAAAACATCCACGGACTACTCATCCATATCACAACCTATACAAGTGCTCGGTGAAAACATGCAAATCTCCACAGAGAAGACCCGCCATATCAGCCGAGTCTTAATTTCCTCTAGCACCCTTTTTATCACCACAATGCTCAATGGCGTTGCCCTATTGAAGACGACGGCATTTCTGCTGTACTCCTTTCGTTCCATAATATAAGAGTGTATTTAACGAATATCCTATTCTGAGCCCAGGCTCAGCTGCACTCGGTGTACAATAAATTCAAAAATACTAGTAGAAAGATTTAATTTTTTTGTGGAGAAAGATGACTGAGTGTGATATGCGTGCCAAATTTCAAAAAGCATTTGAAAATTTGAGTAGCTCTACTTAAAAAAAAATGGGTCCAAACAGTAAACTTGTTCTCAGACCCTAAATTAGTCTTTTTTTTTCTAAGAGCTACTCAGACATCCAAATGATCTGAAATTTGGCACAGACATCACGCACACTGTCATCTTTCTCCATAATTTTTTTGGAATATATTGAATTTATACAATCACTTTTTATTATACATTCATACTTTTCAAATTGGCGAACATTTTCTCAATGCCAGTCATATTTCAAATTCATGAACATGTTTTGAACTCGCAAACATTTTTATCTAATTCATGAAAATTTTCACATATGCGAATATTTGTCACTGAAATGAAATAATTTTCTATTAAAAAATGTGTTTTCAATGCACTAAATAAAGTATTCCTTTCAACAAACATTCCCATTTTATTTTTCTGTTTTCGTAGTACTACTTTTTCGCGCAGCGTGATAGAGACATAGCTCAAACAAACGGGGCGTCACTAAAGGAAAAAAAACTGCGTGTTAAGAAAAAAAGAAGAGAAAGGAAACATTGTGGAAGAAAGAAAAAAAAAACGGAAAACCGTGAGGAAGAGGACTTCTCTCCTCGTACGGCAATGATGGGCTTCCACTATAGATGGGCCGAGCGACCAACCGCTAACGAGGCCGTGAGGGATGCGTGGGGACAGAGTCCTAAGATAGATCGATCCTTCGTTGCTCAAAAAAAGAAGATAGATCGATCCTTCCGGCGGCCGGCCATTGACGACGGCGAGACGGCACCACCGGCAGCCATGGGGAGGGAGATGCCGTACATGCCGGACGCGATCGTCTCGGAGATCCTGGCCTGTCTGCCCGTGATGTCCCTGATGCGGTTCAGCAGCGTCTGCAAGGCGTGGCAGTCAATCATCCGCCGCGACGCATCCTTGCACACAGTAGACGACGACCCTCTGCACACCGACAAAGTCGGCCTGTACATGTGGGAGGCGAACCAGCAGGGCACCGCCGTGCCCCTCGTATACGCCACGGACTTCTCCTCCGGCAAGTTAAAGCACGATCTCGCGCATTGCGATGGGCTGGTCCTGCTGCACGCCGAGTCCGCCGTGCACCTGCTCAACCCGGCCACACGTCACACCCGAACAGCAAACAGCGACCTTCTTCAAGGGGTCACTTATCTGGACCGTCTTTGCTGACACTGCTCCGGGTTTCCTCCGTTTCTGCTTGGAAGACGAGGCTTTCGGGGTCATTCAGCCACCTCCTTGCCACCCGAGGTTGGATTAGCAGAGCTGCGCGGTGAGTTGTGCTTGGTTTGTGTAGGGGCCAACATCCGTTTGATTCAGTTGTGGGTGTGCGACAACGTTGACAAGCCAAGATGGGTTCTACGTTGTACAGTTAACTTTTGCGGATTTGGGCCCCCTAATTTCCATCCGGTTGCCGCATTTGGGGACGAAATTGTGTTCAATGATTCGGTGTGTGGTACAAGGCGCTACAATCTCAGAACCAAATCTTACAAGAACATGTTCTGCATGGAGGACTTCGGGATTGACAGCCCAAGCACAGGCATATTTGAAGATTTCTCTTACTTTGATGTTATCCCCTACATTCCAAGCCTAATTTCAATCTCGGATGAAGTTTCCACTTCCTAAAAGATTTATTTGCTTCAAGCGATGGACTATCACAATATATGTTCTATGTGTATGGTTATTATTTTTACTTGTAATGACTCTTTTTTTTTGTGAACTTATTATTGACCATGTAATCTCAACTTGATAGTCTAGAACTCTAGAAGTCAACTTGAACGAAACCAAAAAGGAAGCGTAACCATACACCCTTCAATGGACCACTTTCTTTTTCTCTTCTTCCTCCAACCTAACAGGCTAGGCGAGCCCAATTAGATTGCAACCTGGAGGAAGAGAATGTGAGCAAGAGGATCTTTGGTGAGGGCGTAATCCCCTTTGTTCCAAGCTTCTAGTTTAGGTGAAAACGAGAGCTTTATAAGATTTCATTGCTTCAAGGTTCTAGCAAGCGACTTTATTTTTCACCTTAACTTGAGTAATATTGAGGTACACACTGTGCACTCCCGTTACACACTTGCACCAAACAAACAGTGTAAACCATTCAATAGAATAAATTGTGCAGCATCAATGACACCAATCACACGAGATTAGAGGGAAGGGGGTGGAAAGGACAGTATTCTTTATCGAAAAAGGGT